CCTAATGGTTTATATGCAAAGCATTAAGCTAACTGCATTGTATGTGTTGTCACATTGAGTTTGTAATCATCTCTAAGCAGCCATTACTCTTCTCAATTTACTGAGCAATAAATAGACTGAAAGAGATTAACTAATGTCATTTTTGGAACTCAGCCATTGGGGGATACTCAGCATCCAAACTATGACACCAAACAGAGCAGAATCTCTTCAGCAATGCTCTGTGGTAGCTGCCAAGCTCTACTCCCAATAAGGAGCATCTGAGTATTATTGAAGCCCAGGAATCCTACAGTTTGATCAGTCCTCGTTGCAAATTTTGTTGAGTTTTACGTGCCTGTATCCTAGCACAATATAAGATGTGAATCTTATAGAAGGAACTGGTACTAGAATGCAAACTAAGTGCATTTCAAACTTTTTTTTTCAGTTCTAGAAACCATTTTGTTCAAACTGAATCTTATGCAGAAGTGTGACGATGCAAAACAAAACTTGTTGATTAAAAGATGTGCTAGTGTAGGCATATATACATAACCATGGCCATTGCTCCATCGCACCAATGTCTACAATGGCTATCTCAAAAGGGAACTTGATAAAGTCCTATAAAGTTACCTGAGATACACTTCTGAACCCAATACATTATAGACAAGAAACTAGGAGGCTCAGAGAACATTGGGAGTCAACAGAGTACTAAATATCAGAACTCAGGTTTCTACTGCTTCTTTTTCTTTTGGACCAGTGTATAATATAGCCTGAAAAGGGACTCCATTTCACATATTATCATCAAGGAAGATGGAAAGGTCACTCCAACATGTGGGATTTAAACTGCAAACACCATCTGGATTGGGTTGTGACAGAATAAGCATAAGCTGTGTAATGTGACTTGCAGTGAGCTGATGTGAAGAGGCTATCAGCCCTGGGCCTGACCCAATCTTGTTTTCTTGCTTCTTTCTCCATCTGCTTATTTCTTCCTCTTCATGTAGTAAGTGTGCAGGATTGGTGGGCTTTCTCTAGATAAACAGCAAATTTTCCTGCCACTGAACCACTTGGGCTACCTTGAGTGTTGTCTCAATTTCCTTCCCAGCACAAAATTCATCTTTACTCCAGGCACAGTTCTCTACATTTCCCTGCTCCCAGCCCCTGATCTCTGAGCAGTAAGTAATTGCTTTTTCCTATGGTCTCTCTTCTCTTTGCTTCTCTTTTCTTGTAGAAGCTCAGCCTCTTGAGCTGGACCTCCACAGTCTATATAGCTCTTAGACCATCTTCCAGGTTCCTAATTGGATGACCCACTAAACTCTGCTTAAGGCATCCAACCAGTTTTCTAGTCCAAAGTTCTAAATAGTCCCGTAATCCTCCAAAATCCTCATAGTCAGATCTGTCACAGCAATAACCCACTGCTTTGCTCCAATTCCTGTAGCAGCTACTTTTCTATTGCTGTGGTAAAACACCACAACCAAGGAAGCTTATACAAGGAAAGGGTTTTTTTTTGGGGGGGGGGGTTCTCTTATAGTGGGAGTTCTCGTATAGTCGGATAAAGCTTCCTCACCATCATGTCAGGAAACTTCATATCACAGGCAGGCAGGCAGGTACTGAAGCAGCAGCCAAAAGCTCACTTCCTGGTGCACAAAAAGGAAGTATAGAGAGGTGACTTGAAATGGCATGAGTCTTTTGAAATCTCAAAGCATTTACCAATGACATATACCTCCTAATCCTCCACAAAGTCACCAACTGGAGAGCAAGTATTCAAACTCATGAGCCTATAGGGAACATCTCATTCAAACCACCACAACATCAATCAACCAATCAGTCAAACAATCAATCCATATCTACAGTGTATTTCCTTCTTCCTATTAAATGAAAATAGTATCCTCTACATTCCTTCCTTATAGATCTGTGCTGAAGATTAAATGTGGAAATATGTGCCATCAATTTTAAAGTATTTCACAAGATTTACAAAGCAAAAACTTACATTTCCGAGCTTACCTGCTAGATTATTGAAAGAAAAGCATTTTTTAAATGATGTTTTGTGTCAGGGATTTTGCATAGCTCTGGCAGTGTTTTGTTTGTTTGGTTGTTTTTTTTTTAAAAAATCAAATCTGTGTGTGTAGAATTTAGTTATAGTTTTATTACATTTTGAACCTTACTCCACACTGTTCTACTTAAATACAATTAACAGCATCCGAGTGTGATTTCACAACTCAGAAATTGAAGACTTTTCCATTCTTTGACACAAATGCAAAGATCATCCTCTCTGTGTTTCCAGCAAAACCTCTTCCCTGTACATGGAATATAAAGTATCAGATACTAACAATAGGATATTAAAAGCCAAATTTGAAGTAATTACCCACAGCTTTGCAGAACAGTCCCTGACACAACTGCCACCCAATCAAAAAGCTCGTGTCTGTCACCCACCATCCCTGCTACTCATGGAATCAGAATGTCAGAACAACAAAGGATCTTATGGATTATTCTCCTCCCACTCACTTAACAAATGGGGGGAATGAGGCACAGGAATAGAACTGTGTAGTTGGGTAAATACTCCTGCAG